TGTACCAAACCTGCTTTCCACCCCTTTTGGAATATGAAATATTTTCCTGGCTTGATTCACCGGATCTGTCTTCTGTTCTAAGCAACATTTCAAACCCCACTGAGAGTTATTCAATGTCAGTATTATAAAGCTCAAGGAGAATTTAATCCATCTGGACTAGGAGATGTGGACACAGAAGAAGGCTTAACATATCTTGAGCTTTCTATCTTCCTTATCATTGCTCTAAATCCTTAAATCTTTTCTTGTCTTCAGGTAAAGATATCAGAAGTCCCATCTTCCAAATGTCCACCAGAAAAAAGAATCTAATTTTTCTATCAGAGCCACACACTCCACATGTATTAATGGATTCAGATCAGCACCTAGTAAGTGATAGCATTTATCAAAAAAAAATGTGAAACCACTGATGGTTCTTGCACAACACAGTGGCACAGTGGGCACAACACACCTATCCTTCCTCCCAAGTAAGTTCAGAGCAGACTGCTTCTTTGATTGCTAGCACACGAGCTTTAACATGTTAGAAAGTATATCATTCCCTTCCAATTCCTTTCATATCTCAAAGATAGGTAGTCCTGGGGATAGCTTCCATCTGAAAGAAGTCAGAGCAGTAGGGAGGGAGCATTAAAAACTCATCAGACTGTAATCTAAAATTTGTAGGAAATGAAAGCAAAGGAAAAAAATCCCATAAGCATAAATTTAACAACTTAATGGAACAGACTAGTTCCTCCAAAATACAAAATATCTCAACTCATTAATTATGAAATAAATAATGTGAATGGTCCTATAACAATTACAAAAAAAAAAAGAAGTCACCAAGGCCCATATGGTGGGAGAATTCTACCAAATGCGAAATCACCAATTCTACACAATTTTCTCCAGGACACTGAAGAGTAGGGAATACTCCCCAATTTCCAGTATAAAACCATTATTACTTCAATACAAAAACCAGGGGAGAAAAAAAAACAACAAAGCAAAACCAACAAAGATCAAGAACAGGAATGTAAAGATTCTTACTAAAATATAAGTAAATAAAAATTAACCATAGATAAAAATATAGATTATCGGGCTGGGAAGATGGCTCAGTGGTAGAGCGCGTGCCTTGCATGCCTGAGGCCCTGGGTTTGATTCTTCAGCACCACATAAGCAAAATGAAAAAAGCTGGAAGTGGCACTATGGCTCAAGTGGTAGAGTGCTAGCCTTGAGCTGAAGAGCTGAGGGATAGCACCCAGGCCCAGAGTTCAGGCCCCACGAACGGGAAAAAAAAAATATATAGATAGATAGATAGATAGACAGACAGATAGATAGATAGATTATGATCAAATGAATTATTATGTAGAAGAAGAACTGGTTCAATATTTGAAAAGTAAACAAAAGTCTCATCTCACTGACAAAATAACACAAGCTAATTTTTTTAAGTACATCAAAATAATCACCTTTCTTTAATACGCTAAAGATGAAAGATCACATGGTCATACCAATCGGAGCAGAAAAAGCATTTGACAGAGTTCAACACCCATTCAGGGTAAGAAAAGCTTTTAGGAAAATGGAAATATAATACAGGGAAAATGTCCTCCAATTGATTTTTACTTTCAATAACAAAATACTAAAGCTAAAACTTTGTATTTAGTGGTAAAAGACTGAAAGCTTTCCTGCTAAGACAAGGAACAAAGCAAGTGGTTCACTTACATTTAATATAGTATCACCAGTTCTAACCAATACAAATAAGGCTAGAAAAGCCTTGCTGTGGCTTAAGTAGTATCTAGCAAATACAGACTCTGGGTTCGACCTCTAGTACTGAGAAAACAAATAACTAAAAGTGGACCATTTTTAAATGTAAAACTATAAAAAAATTTTAGAAAAAATTATTCAGAATTGAGAGCTAGGTAAAGATTTCTTAGTCTTGAAACCAAAAGTGTAATCCACATCAAGCCTGGCGCCAGTGGCTCACGTTTGTAATCCTAGTTACTCAGGAGGCTGAGATCTGCCAGCCTGGGCAGGAAAGTCCACGAGACTCTTATCTCTAATAAACCACTCAGAAAACTGGAAGTGGCGCTGTGGCTCAAGTGGTAGAGTGCTAGCTTTGAGCTGAATAGCTGAGGGACAGCACCCAGGCCCAGAGTTCAAGCCCATGATTGACAAAAAAAAAAAAAAAGAACAGTGGCAAGATGGGGTGATGCACTCCTGCAATCCCAGTACTTAGGAGGATCACAAGGTCAAGACCAGCTCAGTCTACACAGCAAATTAAATGCCAGGATGTACTATATAAGTGAGACTCTGATTTAATAAAAAAAGAGGAAGTAAAGGCAAAGGATTTAGAAATCTAATTAAATATGAGGCAAAAGGGATACCTAGGTAAGACTTAGTTCTAGAGAATAATCAGCCCAGTGCCCATCAAGTCAGAAAACTAAGAAGTCTTCAAGGTGACAAGACAAATGGAAAACTAGGTACATCTAAATATTTAAAGTGAGTTACATAATGTGGGAAAAGTTTGGGATTACACTATTAACAAGCACAGACAAACAGATGAAAAGAGGAAAAACAAGATACATATTAATTCTAATGAGAAACATCCTTGCATGGAAAAGGCACATTAGTAAATTCAACAGGGTTCAAAATTTAACAATTTTCTAACATGATAATATAAAAACAATATTAACACAAACATAATACTAACATAAATCTAATACTAACATAACTAACATTTCCAAAATGTATCAATATTTGGAAGAGGACAGAATAATAACAGCATTTGAGAAGTTATACAAGGTTGAAAGGAAAGTAACTCTTTACTTCCCATAGGCGATAATGCATAAAATAAAGGGAAAAGCAAAAACTGGTACAATTAACACACATTATTCAGAAATCTATTAGAAGAATCAACTGAAGTAGTTGCCTCTAAGACCATCAAATGGCCTAGTAGGACCTCTCTTTGGAAGTATGGTTGGTGGATTTTATAACAACTTCACTAAATTGAAAGCAAATCAAATCTCTCACAGATAATATGCAACTAGGCCAGAACTTGAACCATGTCATTTAACTCAGAATCAGATCCATTGTGTGAGCTCTGTCACAGGCTTTTCATGGTTCTTCCACTACAATGCCTGTCTAGCACAAAATAATACCTCAAAACATATTTTGATGGGTGGAACAAAGTAGTAGAGGAATGGGATTGCTTTTCTCACAAAAGTAAATGAAGGCAGGTGCTGGAAGCCCATGCCTGTACTCCTAGCTATTCAATAGACTAAGATCTGAGGCTTTCGATTCAAAGTCAGTCCAGTCAGGAAAGTCCATGAGACTCTTATCTCCAATTATAACCACCAAGAAGCCAAGAGTACACATGATTACTCTAACCAGCCACTGAAGGGTGACCATACAAGGAGTAGACAAGGCCAAGGCTGGTGTATACTCCCACTTAGTTGTTGGATCTCTTTCTACTCTGCCCAAAGCACTGAAATCCAAGATACAAGGGAACCATCTCTAGTTGAAATATGCATCTGCTGTTACCATTATTCATATATCCATTTCATCCAAAGTTGATTAAGCCATTTATCCTATCAAACAATGTAAGGGAGAATAAAGTTTATGACTTTAAAGAACTAATTTTCTGATGGTAGAACTATATTAAACCATAGTTTAAGATAAGTGATATAAACAAAAGACTACGTATTTAATGTTTTTATTATACACAATGACAAACTCTCATATAGTCATCAATGCATGATCATTGTGATCATCAATACATGGCCAATCTTGCTTTCCAACATATATCTCTAATGCAAAGACATTTGAAGAATGTAACATAAATCAGAGACTCGAAAAAAAATTCTAAATTGATGCATAATTTATGTATGATAAAACACTCAGTTCTTAACGTGTTTGAATTCTAACAATTATATAACCTTGTCTGCCCCAAATAATACATTTTCATGTCCCAGAAAGTTCAAATATGCCCCATTATCAACAACTACTTCTTTTATCTCCACAGATCAATTTTGCCTGTTCAGACTTTTTTGTTTTTTTGTTTGCATTATGGGGTTTTTTTTTTTTTTTTTTGGTCAGTTGTGGGGCTTGAACTCTGGACCTGTGTGCTGTCCCTGAGCTCTTCAGCTCAAGGCTAGCACTTTACCACTTGAGCCACAGACTTTTGCCACTCCCTCACAGACCTTTTTTTTTTTTAAAAAAAAATATCATTTATGTATTTTTTTTATATACTGTGTGTGTGTGTGTGCGCGCGCACGCACGCACGCATGACATGTGAGCACAACAATCCTAGGGCTTGAACTCAAGGCCTAGGCACTGTTCCTCAGGTGTTTTTGCTTTTGTTTTTGCAAGGTTAGCACTCTACCACTTGAGCCATAGTTCATTTCCAATTTTTGCTGGTTAGCTGGAGACAAGAGTCTCACAACTTTCCTGCCTGGGCTGGCTTTAACTATGATCCTCAGCTCACATGAACAGCTGGGCTATTCATGGACTTTTTAATAAGTAGAATGAAAGAGTATGAGGTATCCAGGTTTGTGCCTAAACAGAGTACAAGCATCATAGTTAGAAAGCAACATATATATACAAAATATAAAGTTGTAAAAGGACTTGCTCACAGAATGCTGAGGGGTTCAGGATGGTAGATATGTAGGATTGGGGGCTAATAACTTGACAGAAGGCTAAAAGGAAGCTCCAGAGAAAGCGAGGTTCAAGATTAAATGCCACAGTTCATTTCTGGAAAATAAGCTGTTAAATAGGCTTTTTTCAATGTCCTCAAATATTTCTCTGATCTAAAAATTGGTCAGTTCTCTCAATATGCTTTCTTGTTCCTCAACCTCCAGCTGATAAGATCAAGGCAGGAACAGTGTCCTATATTCTTTGACTATCCACAGAACAATGCAGAGGACTCTTTGCCATCTCAGGGAAAAGAACAGTCTGACCGCCTGCCTCTATGACTTTCTTATGAGAAAACAGTCTCTACCCCTGTTTTAAAGCAGCACTCCCAGGTCCAGAGGCAGCCTTACCATGATTTGGATTTCCCTCTTGCACACCTGGAGGTCATGCTCATTGTTGACAAACATGCGTTTCAAGGCACATTTTAATCCATTGCTTGTCCTCACCAAAAACACGAGAGCAAATCCACCTGTGAGAGAAACAGATATAAGCTCTTTTGAGTCATGTTCAAAAAAGTCATCAGATAACTATGGGGCTGCAGTTGCTGCTGCAAGAGAAACACAGATATACGCTCTTTTGAGTCATGTTCAAAAAAGTCATCAGATAACTATGTCTCTGTTAATGGTACTGACGCTACTGTCACCCAGCCCTTAAGGGTAGCCTGACTTACAAGACATTCTTAAGATTCTTGGAACTCAAGAAGTATTACTTATAGGACCAGGAGCAAACACTCCTCAACACATATCTGAATCAAAGGTGAGCAGTAATCATCTTCCAAGAAACTAAAAATAAGCAGATGAATGAATAGAAGAAAAAGACCCAATTACATCTACCCACTGTCTTTTAAATACTCTTATTTAATCCTTGCCATAATCCTGGATGTTATTTTTCCTTCAAAACAAGCACTAACTGAAGAAAAGAAAGGCTCAAAGAGATTCCAGTCACACCGAGACTGTTCTTAATGTGACTGCAGTACTCTTTCCCTCATTAGAGAGACTAGAAAATAATTTCTCTTTTGTTTGAAAAATTTTATATTATCTTTAAGAAAATTGTTTTGATAATGCTTTTCTTCTTATCTCTTTCTTCTCACTCTATCTTCCAATTTAAACCTAAAAGTAGATCTTGATAGGTCTCTCCCTCCCACCTTATGGACTACTGAGAAGATACAAGATATAGGTAGGAGAGTGCTGTTCTACACAGCAGACATTAGGACTCAATTATCAGAAAGACTTCCTAACATCTAGCCTAAAAGGCAGTTCAGAGATCATTAATAGAAATTTATATAACTCTATCAGGAATTCTCAAATAACTCTAAATTTGTTAAAGCTTAGAGTTCCACAAATTCTTAGAACTCCTAACCCCAACCTCACTCCCAAAGTACTGTGTGAAGTATTCAATGTGCTTGTTAAGAGGATTAAATAGAAAGGTATGACAAAGCTTTAGAATAAGCAGCAGTTGTGTGGAACACTCAGTCCATCAGCCTAACTTTGTACATCTCCATCACTTAGCTGTGCAGCAAAATGTCACTAGGCCCAGAAGTGGTCACTAATTGTGTGAAAGAGAACAGAGAAATAAGTCATTAGTACAACAATTTGAGTTAAGGTTAAGATATAGCACTAGGGCTAAAACTGATAGTTCAACTAACTCTCTTGAGAAATAAGACTTGGGACTCATAGTCCCATTCTAATTTCTCTGGGGCTCAGTGTTATATCAGAACCTATCTGTTGGTACCCATGTCATTTCTTATTAGTTTATCTCTTACTAGTTCAGTTGACTATGATTCATTTCCATAAAGCTAGAAAGAGCTTTGGTCATAAAGCATTGTTGCATGTTTTCATAAAATATACATTAAAAAGTCATGAAAATCATTTCAATGCACTGAAATCTTTTAAATGTACATCCACTGATTTACCAAGGACTTCTTCTTCAATATTCAGATAAGCACTAAAACCTTTCAAGTATTAATTTTAACTATGTCTCTAATCTTTGTATCTCATTTAACATTTTTTCCACTTTCTTATAATTCGCTGAACTACTCTATTATTAAATTTTTAGTGTTTCAGTATACTGAATGTAATGGTATTTTTCCCAAAAAAATTATTAAAATAATAATCCATGTTAAAATAATTGGAATTCAGGAAGATGGTATAATAAATTACAAAATTTTTATTCATACTCAAAGCTGTTTTGTATATGGCATTTTGTGGATTTTTGGATGTTTTAATAATTCATAGGAATACAGACTTTATAGTAATTCTCCTAGAGAGCATTAAATCCAAGAATTTTTCCTCATATGGAAAAACCAAAAGAGACTTAGGTATCCCATGGCTATTTATAGGCACAAGCTAGAGCATTATCGTTCTTCTGACTGTCAAAAAAGTATCCTTTCCAGTTAACCTTCTAGAGAAACATCCTGTAATACACTTTAGATATTAAGGAGACATCAGATACTGGGAATGGGTATTTCTTTCATTAGAAATGAGTATCCCTTTTATTTTACTCCCAGCCAAGGACAGGAAGTGACAGAGCACACATTCTATATACTTGAGAGATGACTTGCAAATAAACTTCAAAATACACTGTTCATCAGTTTTTACCCGTCTTGCCTGAAGAAGATCTCCTCTTTTCTCTACCCAGCATACAGCATATTTTAAAGGCTTTTCAATTCGTGGGGCCTCACACCACTAAAGGGCAAGTTAGTCCTTTCTGAAGCAGGATGATGACGCTGCAATGTGAGGTAAGTGCCACCAGATGGGAGCAGTGCAGTAGCAGATGGGAGCAGCAATGGCAGCAAGATGGCCTTTCCAGCTAGGACTCAAGAAATGGGCCACCTACCACATTATCCAGGAAGTACAAATGGTTACTTAGGAAGCCAACCCAAATTCTTAAAGCCTGCAACTATAATAAATGTAAAAGAAAAGCAGTGACGTGCTGCTATGCCTAACATAGGGAGAACATTATTAAGCACCTATGCCTATAAGAGGGCTTATCTTTAGTTGAAGATTTAAACCATAAAACATTTAGACAGAGGTAAGAAAATCTGGCCATGCCAATCTCTCTGCCCACTGACATTTCATGAAACATTAAAATAACCTCATCAATAGACTTATTTAATAACAAAGTAAAAATGGATCTGATCTATTAAGTGAAGCAAGTAAATAAGTAAGCAGGATAGTTGTAACATGTCCAGCCTAATTATGAAATACATAGGGCCTTTTTTTAAAAACTCACACAAAGAAATGTGCTTTCTCTCATTTTCTTAAAATATATAGCACTCAGTGTGTGTGTGTGTGTGTGTGTGAGAGAGAGAGAGAGAGAGAGAGAGAGAGAGAGACAGACAGACAGACAGAGAGAGAAGGAGGAAGGGAGGGAGGAGAGAGAGGGAGAAGGGAGGGAGGGAGGGAGGGAAGGAGGGAGAGTGTCCTGGGGCTTAAACTCAGGGCCTGGATGCTATCCCTGATTTTTTTGTGCTCAAAGCTAGTACTCTACCACTTTGAGCCATAGCACCACTTCCAGCTTTTGGGTAGTTAATTGGAAATAAGAGTCTTATAGCCTTTCCTGCCCAGGCTGGCTTTGAACTGCAATCCTCATATCTCAGCGTCCTCAGTAGCTAGGATTGCAAGTGTGAGTCACCAATGATTAGCTAAATTTATAAATTTTGATGGAAAAGTAGATGACTACAGTTTACAGTGAGTTTTGATGACTTTGTCTGTTGGGTTCTCCTCTAGATCATCATGTTACCACTATGTAAAATATAATGCAAACTAAATAATGAATTAATTTTTCTCAAATTGTTAATACAGACAGCAGAAAAGGTAAGAGTATGTGGAGACTATAGGAAACTAACTTGCATGACTGAGTAAAAGGCAATTGCAGATAGCTGTTCCACTTGGAAATACAGACAGTTCTATCAGCAGCATTAATTCTTAAATATAAGCCAGAAACCCACAGCTTTATATGAAAACTCCTGACTTAAACATTGGCAATAAGTCACACTTTAATGCAACACACAGACAGACACACACACACACACACACACACATACACACACCAGGCAATTAAGTCACACTTTAATGCAACACACACACACACACACATACACACACCAGGCAATTAAGTCACACTTTAATGCAACACACACACACACACACACACACACACACACACACACACACACAAAACAGGAAAGCTTTACAAATTCTCTGGCCTTCCAATGTTCTACTTCTGATCTAATGTAAACTTATTCATGGACTGGATGTCTGGCTCAAGTGGTAACCCTGTGAGCAAGAGAGCTGAAGAAACTAAGGGAGCATACAAGACCCTGAGTTCAAGCCTCAGTACTGGCACAAAAAATATTAGTATTTCCTTCATTTTACTGATGGCAAAGAACAGGAAGTAATATAGCTCATGCTTCACAAAGTTAAAAGATGACTTGCAAATAAATTCCAAAATGTACACATTAACTCCTGCATTGGTTCAGAGTTTTTACCTTTCCTTCCCAAAGAGGTATTGATGGCATATTCCCCAACATTTGCATATGAGTATTTTAAAGGCAGTTCAAAAAAACTATTCATTTCTATCTCCACAGCAACTGAATGAAGTAAACAATCTACTCTATCCATTTTCCCAATAGGTAAGAGATACAGAGAGATAGTTTCTTACATAAAATCACATAGAATTAATTAGTAATAGAATTCAAATAAGATCCTTCTCCTTTCTAAATATTTTTAAACCAACTACATACAACACAATGTACTTACGTATAGTCTCATGAGCTTTTACAATTTTATACATTTGTTTTGCCCATCAACACAATCACCCATCACTGAAGAGTTCCTTTTTTTTGGGGGGGGGGGGGGGTCCAGTCGTGGGGCCTGAACTCTGGGCCTGGGCGCTGTCCCTCAGCTCTTCAGCTCAAGGCTAGCGCTCTACCATTTGAGCCACAGCACCACTCCCGGCTTTTTTCTTTTTTGCTTATGTGGTGCTGAGGAATCAAACCCAGGGCCTCATTCATGCAAGGTAAGCGCTCTACCACTGAGCCACCTTCCCAGCCCCCCACTGAAGAGTTCTTTATGTCCTGTATTGGACATTTTTCCTAACTTCAGATAATTTTTATCTCCAGAAATTAGTTTTACTTTCCCTAGAAAAGATGAAATCACAAGTAGACACTCTTTTATGTATGACTTCTTACATTCACCATATTCCAAAGATCCTCATCATTTTATCTACCAGTAGTTTTGGCTTTTGCCAGCTACTATTCTACTGCATATTCCATAAATACTTTATCTACTGAAAGACATGAGAACTGATTTTAGCTTTTGGCAATTATGAATTAAATATCTATACAAAGGTTTCTTTTTAATAGGTAATTGCTGGGAACTGGGAGCTTAGGCTTGTAATCCTAGTTATTCAGGAGGCTGAAACCCACAGGATTGTGGTTCAAATCCAGCATGGGCAGAAAAAGTCTGC